GAGGTGAGCTTGTTGTGCGCCCGCCTTCAACAAGGCGATCGCCTTGCCTCAGGCGAGCAAAGGCGCGCCGAGGCGCGCCAAGGCGAGCGCCCGGTTGAAGGCGCTCGCCTGGGCACGTTGCAAGGCGCACCTGGGCGAAATCGCCTTGCCTCTCGCCTGAGGCGAGTGCCCGGGTGCGCCTCGAAATCACTGGGTCCAATTTGAGAGAAAATTTAGTAATGATTCATTAATCTTCTAAGGGAATGCAGAAACCTATTTAAAGGCTTTTAGGAGCTAATAGCCATAAGGCTATTTACTGTGCAGTAAAAGATCAGCCTTTTAAAACAAACATAAGGCTGACAAATGCTAACTACGACAACTACTCTAAATAATCTAACCAAAAATTAAAATAACTACTTTACTAACGGAGTTGTATCATTGAACATTATTGTTCCTTTTCATTAATCTGTCAAAAGTTCGTGTCTTGTGAAAAAAAAATAGCTACTTTACTAAGTTGTAGTAGTTTAGATATATCACTGGTGAAGGGTGAATCCGTATATTTCTTGCTGATCTTGCAGTTTTAAAATGGTAAATTGGTATTTGGATGAGAATTTACTGGAGGTTCCATGCTGATTAGACATGTGAATTAAAAAATAAGATTCTAAAAAAACTTTGTGGCTCATTAGACGTGAATCTGAGCTGGAGTTTTCCTAATTCTTACGACTCTTCTGTTACCCAGCTAATCCTAGGCCCCAACTTCAAAGGCCACTCTAAAGTCCTTTGGACTAATGCGTTGCATGCTTCCCTTGTGGTGTTTCTGGGCCGAGAAAAATCAAAAACATTTTAGTTGACGTTTCTGCATGGCGTCTTGTTTCCAAAAATCGTAATTTTGGCTTTTTTCATATCTTTGCCAATTAGGAAGCCCTTTTGTAACCGTTGGGCTGCTTGGGGATCTCTCATTCCCCCCTTTCTGTATCATGCCTTTTTGATCAATATATTATTAGTTTCATATAAAATTAAAAAAGAATGAACTCAAGATGCAAAGGGAGGACCCCTTATAATACTTTATTTTGACTACCAGGAAACTAGCAGTATAGCACAAAACTCTATGTGTCGTTTATTATTTCTTTCCTCGTATAGCTCTATCTGTGTTATGTACATCAAGGGCTTTAACTATTCATTGGAAATAAACTGAAAAAAAACAGTTTTTATTCTTTTTTTTTATAAGAAACCTTTGATTAAAGCCAGAAAAGGAAAAACAGCCTATGGGCAGGGGGAAGAGGGATCTCCCTCCCAAAAACTAGACAAGAAAAACTCTCCGATCTTGCAAAATCATAGAGAGGCTGTAATTACAAAAGAATTTTTTTTGCCTGTAGCACCACCAAGAAGAGTGTAACTGTACACCATGACAAACCATATCGACAGAAGAGGACTTATCTTCAAAAATCCTAGAATTCCTCCCCATCCACAAATTCCACAGAAGAGCCCTAGCAACACAATTCCAAAGAATTTTGGCTTTTTCTTTTAGGTGCCACCCTTGAAGCGCTTCATCCATCCAGTCTTCGATGTGGAGAGGTAAGCAAGCCGAGATTCCAAAAATCTGTAGCAAAAAAGACCACCCCTTCGAAGCAAAATAGCAATGAATAAAGAGTGCTCTATTAGCTAAAGTCCAAAGGAAGACTTTAACCTTCTTGGGAATTCCATACTTCCAAATGAGAGATATGAGGGGCACTTTCAGCTTTGGAGTAATTTCAAAAAAACTTCTAAAGGCAGACTTCGTTGTACAAAGGCCAGAAGAATCAATAGTCCATATGGTTCTGTCTGCTCCCTCCCCTATGCGCATCGTATCAAGCCTCGATAAAATACCCATCCAGCTATTCATCTCTCTGTCAAGGAGATCCCTTCTTAATCCCAAATCCCAATCTTGTTGGTCCTCCTTCCAACATTCTGCCACAGTAGCATTCTGTTTCGAAGACAGCATATAAATATCAGGGAATTCTTGGGCCAGCGTCTCATTTCCTGCCCATTTATCTTGCCAAAATCTGATTCTGTCCCCGTGGTTCGCTTTAAAGGACAAGAAGTTCAAGAAGAGTTGGCTGTTCTTGGCAATGTCAAACCAAGGCTTTCCTAAAGCTGCTCCTTTGCGTTTTTTCTGTCAACCACCCGAAAGGCTCGAATCCGTAAATGCTTGCTATAACTCTCCTCCACAAAGCATTATTCTCCTGCGTAAATCTCCACAGCCACTTAACGAGCAAAGCGTTGTTGCATTGCTGGAAAGCTCCAATGCCCAAGCCACCCATCTCCAGGGGAAGGGAAGTAATATCCCATTTAACTAGGTTTCGATGGGGATGGGAGCTGCCTCCTTTCCAGAAGAAATCCCCCACCAACTTATCAAGATCTTTAGTTATTCCAGCCAGGGCTTTTAAAAGAGATAGGTAATAAATCGGCAAACTGTTCCGAATAAAAAAACAGTTTTTATTCTACTCTGTAACACTAAGGTTAGGGCTTTAACTATAAGTTTCTTCAGTAGTATTTCCTTTTTAAATATCATGTAATGCTAATATAGAAGCTACTGCGTGTAGTGATAAAGGTACTGTCTATTCAGCTCGTGCCTACAAGATTCCAGAATGTGCCCGAACTGCTACTGGCACACCATTAGTTCAGGTATTCATAGTTTTGATTTTTTTTTTCATCGAAAACTTTGAAGGTTGGTGATTGCTTAAAGTGATAAATTTTCTTTTATGATTGAGCTAGATCCTATCTTTATCAGATGGAGAGAGAATAACCTCCATTATTCCTGTGAGTGAATTCGATGGAGATCAATTTTTACTTATGCTCACAGCAAACGGTTACATCAAGAAAGTATCTTTGAACCTCTTTTCATCAATCAGATCAACTGGAATTATAGCTATTCAATTGGTGTGTTCCCTTTTATGATAATGATGTGATCTTGTATTCTTAGTTATATTCTTAACAGAATGCATCAAGCCTTCTAAACTATTTTTCAGGTGAGTGGCGATGAGCTAAAATGGGTCCGACGTTGTGCAAATGATGATCTTTTGGCAATGGCCTCACAGAATGGAATGGTCATTTTAAGTTCTTGTGATATTGTAAGTCACTGCCCTCTGCCCCCACCACTAGGCTACTCTTTGGTGGCTTTATTTTTTGATTATATCTCAGAAAAGCCCTTGAATCTAAATACATATTGAAAGTAGAATAATTACTAGAAAATTTTTGATTAACACTTCAATTTGAGGCCATGAATGTACGTAGTCAAAAACGATTCAAAGGCCATGGAATGTACATAGTCGCAAGGAAGCTTTAGTTTCACCATGTAATATTCTTTCACTTGCTTTTATTTCTCAGATTCGGGCACAAGGCAGAAATACCAGGGGTGCAGTGGCCATGAGGCTAAAAGCAGGGGATAAGATGGCAAGCATGGATATCATTCCAGCAGCTGTGAGGAATAATTTAGAAAGGATGCCAACAACTCCACGTAGTAGGTAATTATTTTATTGTGAAAAAACCCCAATGCTATTTTGCTTGAAATCTTGATGTTCAGATGGTTGGTATAGCCAGTGGTGGGATACAAACTATATATTTAGTATTTTCTTTTAGTAGGAATTTATTATATTTAATGAGCATTTGATGATGCCCACTATTTGATTGTTGCATATAACCTTAAGAATTGTTAGCTTCGGTGTTTCCAGCTCTAAAGGCTTTAATGGTCCGTGGCTCTTATTTGTGTCTGAAAGTGGATTTGGAAAGCGGGTTCCATTGAGCAGTTTCCGCCTGTCCCCTTTGAATAGAGTTGGTTTGATTGGATACAAGGTATCTCAAATACACAATTTTTTATTACTGGACTGTTTAACCTAATCTTTTTTTAAGCCGCCCCTTTATCTAATCTTCTTTATTTGTAACCGCCATTAAGTTTTCCTCGGAGGATCGATTGGCAGCTGTATTTGTAGTTGGATTCTCATTGGCAGGTGATGGATCAAATGTTTTATTTGGGAACTTTTGCCTTCAATAACTTTCTTTGGTTTCTTTTTTTCCCTTTTTCTTATTACAAATTATATTTATTCAGAGGATGGTGAAAGTGATGAACAAGTGGTTCTAGTAAGCCAAAGTGGTACAGTCAATAGAATTAAGGTCCGGGATGTTTCTATACAATCTCGCTATGCCAGGTAAATATTAGTTGGTGCTTCTTATTTGGTTAAAATATTTATTTTCCCCCAAAGAGTACTCTTCCTGATATAGTTCTCACTTTGAAATGTTTTAATTCGGTCACTTTAGATTAAATGAAAATCCAGAGTCATATACAACCTTAGCTTCCAATTTTTAATTGCTTGGCAATTCCTTTTATTTTGGTTCTGTACATGTACACTCTCATAAAACTGTATATTAAAGCTCAAGTACTTGAGGCAAACTTTTGGTTGAAAACGTCGAGTCCTCAATTTCTTCTTCTCTTCAACGTAGTGTTAAATTGCCCAATCTTTAGCACGGTAGACAACAAGTTCAAAAGAAAACCTAGGTACTTCTGTTAGTGTCCCTTAACAAAGCTAGAATGTGATCTTTTGTCCGAGATCTCTTTATTCATTTTAGGTAGGAGGATGATACGTGGATCAAATAGGTCCAGGCATTTTCCCCTGAAGCTAGTTTAGTTTCACATGTCCCTCTTGTCCTTTGTACCCTTGTTATGGATTCAAATCGGTAACCGCAGCCTGCTTATTATAAAGACTTCACATAGATGCAAAGACTGCATGTACTGAACGAAAAATTTCTCTGCAAATGTCCCACCCTGAAGACCAGATCGTTCTATTCTCTGTCCATTAAAGCCCTAAAGGATTCTCAATTCTGCAAATTGAGTTTTCGAATATTTCAAGATGTCCAACAATCAATTTAACCCAAAATTAATTACTTAACTAAATGGAATCATAATTAATGATATTATTTTTCCCACATTTTTCATCCAAGTTCCATAGTTCACAGGTGACCTGGATGGAACATTTCACCTGAAAAATTTTTTGGTTTTTTTGTTTTTGAATTAAGGCTTCTTTTTGTATCATTTTTTAAATGTTTCAGGGGTGTTATTTTGATGAGGTTGGATCATGCTGGAAAGATCCAGTCTGCGTCTTTGATCTCGGCTATGGATACGGAGCCTGAGGAAGAAGCTTAAACTGCTTGCTGAGATTGACGCGACCTACATATCAATCACATTCCAGACAATGGGATCTTTCATGTTTGCAAAGTGCTGCAATGTCTTCTGCTCATCCTCTCCTACCTAGTGAAGGTTGACTCAGCATTGGTGTTAATTTGACTGGAAGCAGAGACCAGTTATTCGGTTTTGCGGAGTGGTTAAAAATTAGTTCGAACTGCTAACAGACTGTTGGGTCTCTCGTCACTGGTGGTTGATGAATTTTCAAAGTTTGTATGTCGCCCTATGTTTTTGTTTTGGTAGAGCAATTCTGTATAGGTGATTACCCTTTCTTTCTTTCTTTATTTCTTCAGCGATGACTTGTCAAAATATTCATCTACCTAGCTGTTGTAATTGTAAACTCTATGGTTTTCTGCCGCTATCAGTTTGATTCAAAATATTAGCTGTTGTAATCTTAAACTCTATAGTTTTCTGCCCCTATCAGTTTGAGTTTGATCCACAATATTATTTGTAGTCAAGTCACTGCTAGACCATTATTCAACTTACCAACCTCTAGTTTGAAAGATTCAAGTTTTTGCTGCAAATATCTGCCAGGTTTGCCATCTCTTGAACTGATTTTGAACTGTTCATCATCTTTTTATTTAGTTCAACAATTGTTGGGTGGAAGTAAATCTTTCGACCTTCAAGAAAGTAAGAAGTGTTATTTCTTATGCATCACATATTTCACCACTGCATCTCTCGAAGCTACAAATTTGAATGAGTCAACTAAAATCAACTTAACCTCGTCAATCTTTGTAGAAGACAATGTAGGAGATTAATTCTGTATATTGAACGTAACCTACCAATAACAAGGACAAAATGTTTTGTACAGAGCATGGGCAGCTAATGAACATACAGGAATCTCTTTTTTTTCCCCATAGAACAATATTTCAAGGTGAGTACTGAGCACTAAGAACTTCTCCAAATGATCAATGTGATTCTAATACTTCTCTAAACCAGTATTACGAAGGAAAAAGTAATTCAAATTGAACAATGCCTTGAATTCCCGAATGCCACCACCTGTTTTTCACAAGCAGATAAAGAAATAATCACACGATCCCTTCCCTTTTCAAGCATTTGCTAACTGAATAATACAGAAGCAGCAGCTTTGAAGACGTGTAGGTGTATGTAGGAAATCCTTCACTGAATTGGAAGTCAATCTAAATCTCACATGGTGTAATTCGTCATCTTGTGTTTCCTATCTCGGCCTACAAAATTTAGGAGAAATAAAGCCATTTGAGCATGAGTAGTACTCGAGACCAAAATGAAGGTATCGGGTACGAATGAAAAACATATCATTAGATACCGAGCTATTCACCCAAGGCCGTAAATTACCAATAAATGGCACAGCAAGCAATAAGAAAGAAGGTAAGAAGAGGAGGAGAGAGAAAGAGAGCATGAGGGATCACGTTCAAGCCATACTAATGTTTTCAGACTATATGATGTAAGCTTATACTAAAAGACACACTAGAGGATTAGATATCAGTAGGCAAGATTCACTAATACCAAACTAAGGTCTAGAGGATTAGATATCAGTAGGCAAGATTCACTAATACCAAACTAAGGTCTTTATTCTACCACTTTAATTCACAGCAATAACAATACCACAAGTAGTTCTTAATCAGCAGTTGGTACTTTTAATAGAGCAACTTACAACGGATTAAAAAAGAGTGTACAGTGCAGAGAGGTCGTGGGTCAAGTGATGTCCACAATTTCTCTTTATCCATCCCCTTGATATTTTGAAAATTGGTTGGTTGAAGAAGGAACCAAAAAGAAAGTATCATTACCAATTGATGTTCATATTGATCTATTATCCACCAAGTATACAAAAACCTAACCATACATGCCCCCAACTATATCTTTTTAGTCTATTGTAAGCATAAGTTTTATGATCATTACTTGTTTACTATGACAAATCAGAGAGTTATGTGATATCCCTAGCTATGAAGGTTACCAATTCTCATTTGGTCTCCCTCTCTTCAACCGTATCTTTTTTTACTATAACAGGAGTACTTTATGGGGTATCAATGTAAATATCTTAATTATAAAAGCATGTTAGTTATTTTCCCTTTATTAGAGTTTTACATCGCTAGTTCATAGCTCCCATGAATTGTCAATATATATTGTACATATAACTCTAGGAAGTTATGCATGAGCCTCACGCATTTCATAATGGATTTGTTGTCAGTCCTATGCATGTGGGGGCCACTCCTTTCTCACTGTTTTCAACTCAACCTCTGTTTGTCTTTTTCTCTGCACTTGGTTGGGCATAAAGTAAACCACATGCATGTTAGACCATTTTAAGGAAGTCAAATTTTTTCACTATGAGGTTCTGGTTTTTGGTTATCCGGACCAAATTTTGTTTCCATATTGATACTACGGCCAAAAGGAGTCATAGTTATGTCTAATTGGGCTCTAAATAATGTCAACAAATCAATAAAAACTCATACTACTATAATAGGAGTAAAACAGTTAGATTTCATAACGCACCATTCTTATGGATAACCATAATGACCATTGATCAGCCTCAAGATGAGGTCAGAAAAACTTGGTAAAGGAAGATGCTCGTTTGTTCTTGCAAATAAGGAACTCAATTGAGAATTAGCTAGTTTGCTTTATCTTTGTGAAAGAGTTAGCTTGGAATTTGTTCCTTTTTCTTGATGTCCACTAGTGTCCAAGCCAACTTGTGTACTTCATATGTTAATAGAATTTATGATGCGTGCAAGGCTAGCTATGAAAAAAACTTTGCGTCCAAGTTTATATATTTTGCACCATTCAATAAAGATGTGCGGTTTCAACAAGCCCAAGAAAAACAGGGTTGTATTGAGTTTTTTCAGTTGGGTGTTAGACCCCCGGTTACTAAAATTTATTCCCGAAGGGGTAGGATGGGAAATGTACTTGGTAGTGGGGAATAATGTAGCGTGTAACGGCCTAGCGAGAGAATATGGGATGTGGGCCAGGGGAGACGGTTATGTTACTGTTTTGGTAGAAATAGCTTGGGGAGGAAGGTGAGGGGATCATCGAGGATTTGGTTGAGAGTTAGAAGGATTGGAGAGTTACCCACCCTCTCGAATTGGTGGGGTGTTGCTTGTAATCGCCTTCGGGCTTGTTCATTTGAATTCCAAGAATATTGTGAGGAAATACCTCACAAGTTGGTATAAGAGCGATGCGAACTTGGGAGTACCATCGACAATGACAGTGAAGGATTTGGAAGTAAGGTGTGAAGCAACGGAGAAGGAAATCTCCGATATCAAGAGCGCGATCCTGACGCTATGCGGCAAAGTGGAAGAACAACGACTCGCCTCGGAACGGACTCAGGCGATGCTCTGGGGATTCATATCGAAAGTTATCGACGGAAAGACATCTTCTCTCACACAGATGGGGGAGTCATCGACGCGTAAGGACAAACAAACCGAGGAACTCCCGAAGGTAGTACAAATCAGCGATCAAGCATATGATCAAAGTTTAAGAAGGTTGAGATGTCTATCTTCCTCGGTAAGGATCTTGATTCCTGGTTGTTTCGCGCTGAGCTATACTTTGAAATACATAAACTCACTAATGAGGAGAAGCTAATCGTATCTGTAATTAGGTTTGATGGAATAGCTCTAGCTTGGTTTCGATACCATGATAACAAAGTACGATTCACAGATTGGGAGAATCTGAGGTCCAAGCTTATAGTTCGATTTTGGAGGACAAAGGAAGGGCGACAGTGTGCAAAATTAATGGCGATCAAACAGGAGGGTAGTGTAGAAGAGTACCAAGAGGCATTTGAGGCCTTATCGGCAACTCAACCACACTTGGTAGAAGAGGTACTGGAATCAGATTACCTCAACGGGTTAAATCCTATTTTGCGTGCAGAGGTCCTGGCATCAAAACCGACGGGATTAGACCAGATAATGAGGCGTGCCCAGTTGATCGAAGATCAAGCGACAACATCCCAAGAAAATGGGGAAGTGAATCAGGAACGGCCTTCAAAAGGCGGCATGGGGGGAGTGAAACTGGCGATTAAAACGCCAGAAACGACCGCCACACGTTCCGTAACCTTAGCTAGCAAGCCAGGGACGGCGGTGACAGCTCCAGCGGTGGTTCCGACAGTTAAAAAAGAAACCGCCTACAAACGTCTGACAGAGGAAGAGTATCGAAAGAGATGGGAAAATGGGCTTTGTTTTAGATGTGAGAAGAAATATTCGGTGGGACATCGTTGCAGAAACCAACAACTCCGGGTGTTTATGGTTCATGATGAAGAGTTAACGATGACAGAAGAAGAGGAAGACCATGAGGAGGGAGAGACTTTGGATGAGAAAGGGAAAGCGGTAGTATTGAATACAGTGGTTGGCTTGACGACTCTGGGAATGATTAAAATCAAAGGGATACTGCAAGGGCAGGGAGTGGTGGTGCTTCTTGACTGTGGGGCTGCCCACAATTTCATCTCTAATCGGTTAGTTAAAGAATTTAAGATTCCCCAGTCAGAGACCTACAATTATGGGATTATAGCTGGAACAAGGCCGGCAGTGAAGGGCAAGGGAATTTGCTGTGGTGTAGTGATGGAGTTACTAGGGGTCACGGTGGTAGAAGATTTTCTTCTCATTGAACTTAATGACTTGGATGTGATTTTGGGGATGAAGTGTCTGCAAGCCATGGGGAAGATGGAAATCGATTGGCCGGCATTGACTATAACATTCACACGGGGGACAAAAGGATTGTGCTTAAGGGTGATCCATCTCTAGCTCGAATGGAGATATCACTCAAAAGGATGTCTTGAGCTTGGGAACCCACAGACCAAGGATACCTGGTGGAGTTGCGCGCAATAACGGCCCAAGAGGACCCTCAGAATGCTTAACAGAGGGGGCTCATTCTGGAAAGACCAGGGGAGATTGTGACACTATTGGAGGATTACTCAGATAGGGTACGGAAGGACTACCTCCCCAGCGGGCCATTGACCACCAAATACAACTTAAAACCGGAGCACCACCAGTGAATGTAAGATCGTATAGGTATGCCCACACGCAGAAAGCAGAGATTGAGTCTATGATCGCGGACATGTTGCTGAAAGGCATCATACAACCTAGCACCAGCCCCTACCAAGTCCAGTTATCCTTGTAAAAAAAAAAGACGGAAACTGGAGGTTCTGCGTGGACTATCGAGCATTGAACCAGGTCACTGTTCCGGAATTCCGATTATTGAAGAGTTATTGGATGAGTTGCACGACTCCTGTATGTACTCCAAAATCAATCTTAAGTCGGGCTATCACCAAATCCAGATGTCCCTTGATGCGGTAGCCAAAACAGCTTTTCGAACACATGAAGGGCACTATGAGTTCCTTGTAATGCCATTTGGGCTCACCAATGCTTTCGCGACGTTCCAATCCTTGATGAATCATATTTTCAGGCCCTATCTGCATAAGTTTGTACTTGTCTTCTTCGATGATATCTTGGTGTATAGTTCTAACCATACTCGAATAGAGTATTTGGGACATTGGATCTCAACGGAGGGAGCAAAAGCTGACCAGGCTAAGATCCAGGCCATGCTACAATGGCCCAAACCCTCTAATGTTCGAGAATCAAGAGGCTTTTTGGGGTTGACCGGCTATTACCGCAAGTTCGTGATGAATTATGGAGTGATAGCAGCCCCGCTCACGCAACTTCTAAAGAAGGATTCCTTCAAATGGAACGAGACAGCCACCAAGGCATTTGAAAAATTGAAGATGGCTATGTGTTCCCTTCCGCCCTACCGGAATTCAACTTACCATTTATTATTGAGACGGATGCATCTGGCACCAGTCTTGGAGCCGTCTTAATGCAAAACCAACGACCCATCGCTTACTTTAGTCACACGTTATCTCGGCAGAGCCAAGCAAAATCAATCTATGAAAGGGAGCTTATGGCTATGGTCTTAGCTATTTAGAGGTGGCGTCCATATTTGTTGGGGCAACGCTTCATTGTGCGCACTGACCAACAAGCATTAAAGTTTTTGCTGGAACAAAGGATAGTTCAACCCGAATATCAGAGGTGGGTGTCAAAGCTACTCGGTTACAACTTCGAGATACAATATAAGCCGGGTCTAGAGAATAAAGCAGTAGATGCTCTTTCCAGAATGCCACCAGGGCCCTATTTGACGGTAATGACGGCTCCCACATTGTTAGATGTGGATCTGATAAAATCCGAGGTACAAAATGATCCAGGGTTGGCCAAGATACTTGCTGATCTTGTGCAGGACCGGGACAGTCATCCGAAATATTCTGTGGCAAGGAAGCTTGCGGTACAAAGGCCGAATGGTCTTATCTAGAACCTCCTTTATAATTCTAGCTGTACTACATTTATTTCATAATTCCATTATGGGAGGGCACTCAGGCTTCCTTCGTACTTATAAACGTCTGTGTGGAGAACTATTTTGGCAGGGCATGAAGCCAGATACTAAGAAGTTTGTTGAGGAATGCTGTGTTTGTCAACGAAACAAGACCATGGCCACTGCCCCATCAAGGTTACTCCAACCCTGCCCATACCTGACCGTATTTGGGAGGACATCACGATGGATTTCATTGAATGCCTTCCAAAATCCCAGGGGGCTAATACAATCTTCATGGTGGTGGATCGTTTGAGCAAGTATGCTCACTTCATCCCACTAAGTCACCCCTTCACAGCAAAGACAGTGGCGGCGGCTTTCATTAAAGACGTGGTCTGACTACACGGCTTTCCTCAGTCCATCATTTTCGACAGGGATAAGATCTTCCTTAGTCATTTTTGGACGAAATTGTTCAAAATACAGGGAACCAAATTGAAGCGGAGCACAGCCTACCATCCCCAAACCGATGGGCAGACGGAGATTGTAAACAAATGTCTAGAGACCTATCTACGGTGCTTTTGCTATGACTCTCCAAGGATACGGGGACAATGGTTGTCTTGGGCGAAATATTGGTACAACACTACTTTTCACACCTCCCTGGGAACTACCCCCTTCCAAGTGGTTTATGGGCGAGTACCACCCCCACTCCTTAGCTATGGGATTCATTGGACAGCCAATGACACTCTTGACAGGCAGTTGCAAGACAGGGATCGGGCCCTACATTTACTCAAGGAGAATCTATCTAAGGCGCAGGGACGAATGAAGAAATATGCTGACGTCAAAAGAACCGAAAGGGAGTTTGACGTGGGAGATCTTGTCCTCCTCAAAATCCGTCCTTACCGCCAGAAAACGTTGGCTAAAAGAAGGAACGAGAAATTGTCAGCTAAAATCTTTGGACCCGTTTGAGATCCTCCAACGCATAGGCAAGGTGGCCTATCGACTTAAACTGCCGGACACCACGACCATCCATCCGATCTTTCACGTGTCCCAGTTGAAGCCGACCAGAGGTTCCCATTTTGATGCACAACCCATTCCTCCTTATTTGACTGATGACTTAGAATGGTTAGCCATACCCGACGACGTATATACCAAAGGCATAAACGACAGCATTGGGACTGAGGAGGCTCTCGTGAGCT